CCTTTTTTAATGTTCTCTGAAGGTTACAAATTCTTTAACATCACCTGATGTTCTGGGCTATGTGGCCACAAAGATGTAAAATGTTGCAATAAAATTATTTTTAAAATTGATAATACAAGACTGCTTTTGGGATGAGAAGGGTAGTTTTGTTTGGTTGGGTTTTTACAAAAAAAGAGCCTGCTGTTTGTAAGGCATATTTTAATATAAAGAGTACACTTCAATATTTTTTGTTCAAGGTCTGTAATGTCTCCGTTCTTCCCTGCAGCCTGACCATAATCCTATGCTTCTGTTGGCTTTTGTGCTGTTGGTCTAAAGTGCAGGCGGCAGCGTGCCGTAGCGCTCAGAGCTGCAAGGGTCGATGGGGCTGTGCGCGCGGGGAGAGCTGCTGCTGCCCCTGGCCAAGCCTGGGCTGCTGGCGGGGCCAGTGTTGCTTGGTGTGCTGGAAGGCTCCAACGGCAGGGACACAGGCTCTTCGTTGCTTCCCGAAGGAGTCTCCTACTGCCACCCAAACTGCCTATGTTCTTCTGTAAGGAACATCTGGGCTTGTTATGCAAGTATATATGTGCAACAAATACAAATACTTCTTTTCATAGAAGTCCTCTATTTCCACTTTGGCATATTAGTGTGAATACATCACAGCCATGGCACAACCAGCCAACTTGCAAACCCCCATTCCCGTTTGCAAAGCCAAGGTAGCTTTTCCCTTTCTGTATCCAGGGCAGAGGCAGCTTCACCTAACAGGAGGATTCCGGGCTGCTGTACCAGAGCTTGGGCAATAGCAGTGCCTTCAGGGAGCTGGGTTCCTTTGCCTCCCACATGTGTGCTCTATTTCTAAATACAGAAAGAAGCATAAGCGTAAACCTGGATTTGGACTTAATCCTGCTGAGTGGGACATTTCAGCTGCACTTCCACTGAGGGATGGTCTGGGGCAGCCGCTTTCCTCGTCACCGGGGCAAGTGTGGGTGAGGAGCCTACATACAGCAGCCAAGCTGAGAAACACGTTTTTGGGTATGTTTAACTGCAAAGCAAACACCATGATGCTGAGCAAGAGCAGTGCCATTGGTTTTAGGGCAGGGGACCAGGGTGCAGAGAAGCTGAGTGCAGGGTGTGAGAGGAAGGTTGTGACAGTGCCGGGAGCGAACCCAAAACAGCACCGAGCAGCCTGAGCAGTCAGCTCTTCTTCGCCGCCCAGTTCTCTCTAAGAATAAATCTCAGCCTGAGAGACATTGTGAGCGATTTAGGATGAATTCGCAGAAGAATTCAAAATTGTGTCTGCCTTGCACCCTATTTTAAAGCTAACACAAATTTACTTCAGAAATTTGATTCCCACTCTGCATTCCCCAGTTTGAGACTCCTTGATTACCTGCTATGTGAACAAACGTACATCTCTCATCTAAGGGATGAAGATTTTCAGGGAAAATGCACCAACCTCCTAAGCCTGTCGGAATTTATTGACGGAGAGATGTTTGCCTAGCCCATATTTTCCACCAGAGCAAGCTGACAAGCAGGTGTTAGCTTCAGCTGATCACTGCAGACAGCAGGTAGGAAGGGCCATTTCTTGCATTTACCTGCCAATAGCTGCTCAGCGGGACACAAGATCAACTCCTGGGATTTTCTCCTAGCATGGTTATTCACAGCCAATGTAGAAAGCCTGAAAGCGCTTTTACCTCCAAGGTGCTGTTTATTTTACAGCACAAAGACCCGCTATACTGGAGACTCAGCTTGTCACATCAGATGCAACCAGGGCATAGCAACAGCTATAAACAGGGAAAGGGAGAGAAAGAAACAGGAACAAGATGGTGGATTTCTGCCTGTTTTATCCAAGCCAGCTCTGTGTGTGGCTTCATACACCTGGCTCATGAGATGTTGAAAAAACCAGGGTGAGACCAGGGCTCCTTGGGCTGCCTTAGGACTTTCCTGTTGCTTTCACTTATCTAAAGTGCCCAGCCTCTTTTTCCTGTACTTTCTGCATGTCTGTTGCTCTTCCATGCTCTTCCATCTAGAACAACTTGCCTGAGCACCAATATTACTCAGGTTATTTTATTAACAGACTTCTCCTGCAGAAATGAAGACTCATTCCACTCAGGCATCTGCAGCAACGGGACTGAACAAATGCCTGCAGCCACTGTCACCTTCTAGCTCTCTGCTTGTCCTTCAGGTCTTCTGGGGGGGGAAAAACTCCCAAATTTCAATGTCTGATTCAGTAAGCCACAGAAATAGAAATGCTTTTAATCTGTATTTACTTAGGAAAGCAGGAATAGGCGCTATTCCTGCCCACCCCCCCCCTCCCAGTTGCAAGTTAGGAATGAGGGCCTAATTACCTTTGGTAGTGATTCAACAAAGGACCGAATATCGGCTGCTTTTGCTGCACTGGTGATCTCATGCAGTGCCTTCCAGCTGTTAGCCCCACATGCGATGCTTTCAGCAATGGTGCAGTCAAACAGCACTGATTCTTGTGAGATGATACCAGTCTGAGCTCTCAGCCACTGGATGTTTGCTGTCTCTGCATTTTGGCCATCCAGGAGATAAAAAGTCAGAAATAATATATTTTAATCATCATACTTTATAGATGACTGGGTTTTGTTTTTGTTGTTTTGGTTTTTTTTTATTTACGGCCTGTAGCAGACAGGGCACTCAGGCCGTTTCATATCCTGAGTCTGTTAACTAAGGCACTTACGCAGCGCAGCAGAGATGGGGAGATGAGTGTTAAAACCTAGCTATTTGCAATCAATACAGTAACATCACACGTCCCTATGGACCTTGAAAAACTCCAGCTGTATGAAGCCACTGTATTGCACCTCACTTGTTTATCACCCTAATGAAGAACTAATAGAGATGTACTTTCTCTGCTAGCTTGCTATCAGTACTAGAGACATTTGTTACTGTGCTGGTGACAGAAAGATCTGTTTCAGGAACCAGGAGATCTGCACCACAAAGTGTTTCCACAGCCCCTCCCTTTACTAGCAGCTTTATCCCATCTCTATTATGCTGATATGGGAGTCAGCTGTCCTCACCTCTCAAATGACAGTAATCCCTAATCCCATGACTGAATATTATCCTTGTACATCAGTGAGAAAAATTCATCTACCACCACATGCTCATGTAAGATGGGATACATGTGTAAAACTCTACATATCAGCACCTGAGCTCCTCTTGTCCCACTGTAGCTTATCTGGACATTAGCAACCACAATTGTAAGTTTAACTGTCTCGGTCATGCAGAGACTTATTTTGCCTGCAATAAAACATCAGCCCATATTTCTGCTTTATCCTTATGACTTCTATCTGAAGCAGAACTAATGAGCTGTGGCCTAAATCACCACCCTGTGCCTGTGGGTGCACTGTGATGTTGGACTCTTGGAGCACAGATCATCCTTTTGTTCTGTTTATACAGTGCCTGGCATGGCAGAGAGCCCTAACCCAGGGCTTGGATTCCTCAGCACGATGATGAACCAAAAAATTATAGGCTGAATGTTTCTGTCTTTACAAGAAATATTGTATTTGTGTGCACATGAGACTAGGGACCCCTCTGTAAGAAGTAACTCGACTTGCCAACTGTTTTCTGTGTGGGTTGAAGAGATGAATCTGTCTTTTTATTCTCAGAATGTAATAGAAGCGGTTAAGTGATTAAGCACTGAGTAAGTATTTTTTCCAGTCTCAGAAAAAGATATCTCACAGTTCAAGGCCACTCTCTCATTGACAAGCACCAGGAATTAGATACAAAGTCCAGGGAGAAGAAGCCAAAAGGTCACTCCAGCATCTCCATCTGTCATGGAGGCTGGCTGTACCTCAGGCTCCAGTTCAGTTTGAGTCACAGATGACAGTTTTGCCTTTCACAGAGAGTCAGGACTATGGTGGGAGGCAGATATCTGGGCTTGGGAAGTCCAGTGGTCACATTTTTCTCTGACTTTTAAAGGAAGGATCCAAATCCTCTGAACTGAAGCCCTAACTATGGATGAAATACAGATGTAAGTGAAGAAACATATGAAATATGAGATCACTTTATTTGGCAAGCACAAAATTGTCCTAGGAATGCACAGGCATCCATCTGCAGCCTCCAGATGCTTCAAGATCCAAGAAGAGCTGCTCAGGTTTTTTTTTTGGTCTTCTTTTACTTCGTTTTTGCATGCTTGGTGACAACTCAATGAAGTTCAGTAGCTGCCCTAAACAGCAGTGCTGTTAAATTTCCAACAATTCGTCCTCACTGTAACTAAACTAAACACCAGTGACACCAGTAGGCTCTGTTCAGGCCGGTGTAGCAGCTTTCCTCCTTTGGATCCTGTTCCAGTAACTTGAAATGTCATGGGAAATTCAGAAATTTTACTTTCCTTCTACTTTGCCCATGATTGCTTAGAGAATATTTAAAATCCATGTGTTCCTGCCCTTAATTATCAAAAATATTACCAAAAAAATTAGAAACATTGACAAAAGTGTGTAGTTCTACTAGCAAAGATGTAAGCAGATTATTTAAGAGGGAAAAAACAAATTTATATTAATAAAACAGCATAAGCATTTGTCAAGCACCTGCAATTTATGCTTTGATGTGGAACACTTACCATTTCTCCACTGAGTGGATTATAAAATCTCTCAAGCAGCTCCACAATAGCTCTTTCCACAGCCACTGCTACCAACAAGAGCCAGAGTTTGCCCTTTTTCTACATTCTTGTTCAAACTTCGGAGCACTTTGGTCTCTGGATGGGTTGGGTAGTTAAATGCCACATTGTTGAATGTTACTTTTCCACCAAATATTTTCTAATTGAAACAATACAGTTAGGACAAATTTTTAGGCTAAAGGAAAAGATCATAAAAGACTATGAAAAGCATTTGTAAAAGAGATCAGTGGATGTTTTTCCAAAGGACCAGACTTCTCTTTTTTCCCAGGAATTAATATGTAGTAAGAGCCATTGTAAAAAGACAAATTCTCTCCTAAATATTCTACTCTGCAGGAATATTTTAATTAAAATTCTGTTCTGTAAACACAAATTCTGACAGTTTCTCTTACACCATCTGTTAAACAAGATTACATTTTCAAAAATAACAATAAGCCTAGGTAGCTGACTTCTGTCTGCTTTGCAAGGACCTCCTTAAGATTCTTGGCACGTTCTTTGCTGATTTTTTCCATTTTTGTCCCTAAAGACGTTGCAAATAATATACTATCTTTGATCTGTGCACAGAATCAATCCTTCTACTTAAAGACATTTTCTAATTAATTTACTATAAAATGTAATGTGATATATGTAATATGGATATATGCCTACACAAGAAGAAATACAGTTCATATGACTGAGTAGATCTAACATGTAAATACAGACATATGCAAATAACCAATCTGCATAACAGTTCAAATGTGGGATACTTCATAAGACTTCATAGTTATTTTCCTTTATTATGTGTGTGTATATATGTATACATACATATATGTACGTAATAAACACAAAGTTTATAATCTATATGTGGTAGTTGTCTGGAACGGTCTGTCCTCTTTGATATATGACAGGCCACATGCACCCTTATGTTCCTATACATTGTTAGTTACTAGAGTATGTGACAATCTGTTATGGACAACTTGCAAAGAAGTCATCCCTCGGAAGTTTCTGGTTAAATATTGGAGGCCTAGTTATATGTTCAAGATCCATGCTTAGGCAGCTTCACGCAAGAAAGTCTTGAAAAATGATCTCTGCTGCATGAACCATATTTCCACTGGCTCTTAAAGACGTTTCAGCAAGAGATGGGTGAGGTTTTGGCACGAGAAGACACAAAGCAAAGCTCAAGCCCAGTTTGGCTGGATGAGTCAGATGTGAATGGGCTCACACAGTACTTGTTTTCAGTAGCTATAGTGTGGGTGGGAGAAAAAAAAGAAAAACAGGCTTGAAATAAATTAGAGTCGTATGCTATGCTATGCATAACACTGTGCTTACTTATGGGGTTCTCTCCTTCCTTGTTGTAGCTATCGATGGCAGGTACTCTTCAAACAGCATGAACAAGTGGGCAGCTGACATTTTGGATTTGGCAGAGTCTGGAGTGAAAGGAGTGCTTTGTCCTAATGCCACTGCAGTAAATACAACAGCTGAAAAAACTCTGTAAAGATAAAAAGGAGAAAAATATATTGACATTGGTGTGGCAAAGGCAAGAAAAGCTTTTATGGGCAGGTTAGGAGCTTCAGGTAAATACTCATTAATAAGGCTGAGCTTGGGTAAGAGCTGTCTACTGCAAGCTCTGTGACTTTTTTCCTTACTGAGAAAATCCATAATTTGTTTTCAGGGAGGAGAGCAGCACTGTAAGCTTCCCTTCCTTGCCCACTTGTCTGGATTTTTTAGAGATGGATGTGTTGATTGCTGTTTCTGTTCTTAATGCATGAGATGTGGTAGGATGTATAGTTCCTTGCAGCTCAGTTTCTTCATATATAAAACTGAGGGTATTAGTTGTGGAGCAGTCTCAGTTATGGATTATGGAGGATCATGGAGAAATTTGACATTCCACATTTTTTTTGAATGGTCCAGTCTTCCAGGCACAATCAAATCCTGGAGTTCAGGAGAAAAAGGCAAAAGTCAAATGGGAGTTGAGAAAGAGGTGTGAAATCTGGAGGAGCAAAGGGCAGTAGGAGAGAAGATACACAAGGAGGAGGGATTCACCTGAATGCGTAGGCAAAGGGAGGGTAGTGCTGGTTTTTGAGATGGGGTTGGTGTAATCAGGGTGAGAAGCAGCTTCAGCTTCAGCAGCATTTTTTGCCAGGCAGGACTGTGGAAAGTGCTAAAAGCAAGTACGGAATGTGCATGGGAAACAGGGTGGCTATTGACAAATACGGACAAGGATTTCAGCTGCAGGGAGAAAAGCAAAGACCTGGTTAGATGCTGGAGACAGGGCAGGAAGAAAGAAGGATGAAAAGGTGCCATTCGGTGGTAACAACTCACTGGAAACACTTGAAGAAGGTTTTTCAGCTCTGGGTGGGCATTTTCCAGGTTGGGTGTTTGCTGAACCTTTCTTCTGCTCTCCAGCTCTCTTGTCCCAGGGCTCACAGTTTCCTCACCTCAGTTTCATTCATTACTTGCTCCACTTACCCTTTAATCTTGTCTACCTACGCTCTCTACAGCTAAGCCATGTGATTCTGTTGTTAAAGAAACCAAGTTGGCCACAAAAACAAGGAACGGCTTTGCTTTGCCTGTCCCCGTGTTGCCTTCCTTTTACCTGGGGCAACCTGGTTACAAGGGAAATCGTATTGTAGGTAGCCAAACACAGTCTAAAAGCATCATTTATTTTAGATTTGTAATAGTGTAAGGAAGGAAGGAAGGGGGATATAAGAGTGAAGAGTGAAAGACAGAAGTATTTCTTGATTTTTTTTCGGTTCTATACTCTATGATTTCCTAATACCTATAGAAAAATCAAACATACTCTCCCACTTGGACAAAAAAGAACCTAACAAAGAGATACTTACAAAAGCACATATTTAAACCACGTATGTTTGTTTCTCACTAGATAGGCACCAAACCTAAGCCACCCAGTGTAGGTAAAGTATGTGATAGCCTGTGTAAAGGCAAAAGTAAATCCAAAGATATCTGCCTTCTTTACAGAATTTCTGTAACAGAAAAAACATACAATCATGGTTGTATTGTACATTCATTTGCAGAAATCAAGGATGTGAAGAGTACCCTATAATTTAAAGGAATCCACAAGTCCTTAACATTTTAAAGTAAAATAATCTCCAGCTTTTTGTAAGAGCCTAACCTAAGATATCATCATTCCTGTATGCTTCAGTTTCGCCTCTGTCTGCAAAAACCAATGAGACTGCTGGGACAGAAGAAGAAATTGCTCTAACTCTAAATATTTTAAGCATGTACAATTTGTATTGTCTTCACCTCGTTATTTTCAGAATTCTAATGCAGTTGCAATTCAAAGTTTCAACGAACTGACACATGAGGAAAATCACTGAGAACTTCAGAATTTCTACAAAGCAGAAATTACTTCAATAGAACAAATCTTCGTGCTTTGTCTTACATTGAACTAAAGCAAGTGACAATTCACAAGGTTTCACATGATCTGTAATAGTGCTTTGATAAAACAGCAGAGTGAACAAACATAGAAGCTGCTGTGCAGGTCCACCCTTCTGGTTCCTTCCTCAGGAAAATCCCGCTGATTTTTATAGGAATGTTACATAAACATACACATAAAAACTGCCTTTGGTTTATTAAACAATAGAGTCCCTCAGAAGAAAGAGCTTGTGATTATAAGAATTAATAAAGGCTTCATTTTGTCAAGAACATTAGCTTGAAGAGAAAGATAAACTATATTTTTTATGTCACAGCAGAATTTGGAATGAAATATTTTATGATGCGCTCACAGAGATAAATTGTGATTAAGTTTATTGGTGTTAATTTATGTTCATTGTAAAAATGAATATTTCAATAACTTTTATAAAGACGCATTCTTTTACCTATATGATGCCTGCAAACTTTTTGTGTACATAAGTTCAAATTTGCTTTCCTGAGACAAAATAACAACGGTTTGAGTATTTTCTACTGTTTCTGAAGTAATCTGTATTGGAGAGCAGATATTCATCAGCAGAAAAACAAGATTATATGGACATTTTTAAACATAATCTGATAAATGGAATAACTGCAATAGAAGTATGTCTGCAATACTATTGAAAACATGGTTGCAAGAGGTGTAGATATGCTGCTGTTAAATATAACCAATTAATGTGGATTATAGCAGTGAAGTTGAGACAGCATACATATTAACATGAGCCAGCAATGGGAGTTTGTTTTACAGTGGGCTTGTGTAACCTATCATGAGCATGATGCCGTGCAACTGTCATCACTGTGGGAGCCTAGTCAGGATAAACTGGACAAGCCTACATCACCTGAAAATGCATTTGGAACTGCAGGGCAAACATATGTCCACATTTTCAAAAGCAACTAGGGATTTCTGAGCTCACCCATAAAGAAATGGCCTTTGCCAGGATGCATTCCCAGCATTTTTGGAAAATCAGGAGTCTTTCAAAACTCATAATGGAGAAAATGAAAACCACTGGCTATTAATAAAAATGTAGAGACAGGTTTTCCTGGCCCATATGGCAGCTTGGCATCTGATTCCTGTTAATTTTTTGTCTTTGAAAATCTTCCTGTTTTCCCACAGAAATAAAAATAGTAGAAGTTTTCAAATGATTAATGATGCAAGGTACCCAGTCTTGAATGAAAAATAGTGGAAGCTCATGGCTTAATTTTCTTTAATGCTCCCCAAATATTAAGGAGATTTAGTTGTAGTTAATTAATATCATCAGTAAATCTTTTAATAGAACAGTTGATTTAACCTTGGTCAAGAATCCAGCAAATCAAAATTCAAAATGCAAAGCATCTTGGAAAGTGATTTTGTAAAGTATACACATGGAGTACTCTACCCATTCCAGCTCATCATTTAGTTCTGAGGTACTCATTTTATGGGAAAAGAAAATTAAAAATTATCCACTGTCTAGAAAGTCACCTCGGACCTGGAACTCAAGCTCAATTCTTTCTCATGTACTGTCACCCAGTGGGAGATCTGTACACTGTGGAGTCCCACCGCCTCCACAGAAGCCCCTGTAGTGTCTGCACCACTCCAGATCATGTGCCTGTGGGTTGTACTGGGAGCTAACTGACTGTTAGATAAGCATATGAAAAATTCTGCTGCTCATAAGGCAAGCATGAAATACATTCACTCTCTTTTAGCTATGTAGTTTCTACACTACCTTTCAATAAGAGTATTTATTTGAATCTCTCATGAGTGAATATGGCATTTCTCCATAGGTATTTTTCCAGGAAGAACCCTTCTTTTAAAGACAAGTGCAAATTTTTACCTAGAGTTAAAAATAGATGCTTGGGACTTGTTTTCCTTCTGGTTTGCTTGACATGTTGAGTGAAACATTTTGCTGAGTTACCATGGAAATACATGTGTTTTAAATTTTGCCAGAAACTGGGGATCTTCAAAAAATTGTTTTGATTAATATAGTCTGCCAAAACTAGATATTCAGGTCATTGCCTAACAAACATGTAACTCTTCTTACAAACAGTCTCCAAGGAAGTTGGCATGCTATAATGATAATCAGCTGTAAACAGCTTGAGTATGAGAGAACTTTAAAATATTTCAGTGCATCAGAATGCACTCAGCATGGCTACTTGTTTGGCAAAACTTCATGAATAATTAGTGACAGTATTTTTAATTTTTTCTTGGTTACCCAACCCATCATGTAAGGAAGAACAGGTTTCTTTTTTTCAACCCATATATTCTTTAAAAAATAAATTTCTTTTAACTTCTTATTTTAATGTGTAACAAAATACCTCTAGGCTTTATTGTAAATGTAGAAAATCTTGGAAGTAAACATGACTCTCAGCCTTTAACTCAGTAAGAAAAAGGAAAAGCCTAGCAGCTCTGAACAGGAGAGCTAACCTCCAGAAACTTCACTATACCCATACATTTAACAAAACCTTCTTTCTCCATCATTACTTCTACATAGTAAGTAGAATAAATGCTTAGACAATCTACAAATAAGAAACACAGCAGACTAACTAGCATGAGGGATAAGATATAGAAATAATTAAATAACGTGGAAAAACTAACATAACTGCATGTAAATATTATCTGGCTCCCCTACAGAGGCAAATATCATGTTTTCTTTATGTCTTTATTACTGGTAAAAATAGTTTTATGGACAGGTAAAGTGAAATTTTTTCTCTGCACAGCCAATTTAAATATGCTTGGAGGCTGAGAAGCTTTACAGTTGTCTCACTAACAACCTTCAATAAATTTGCTCTTCTTGGAAGCAAGATTGTTTTGGACCATTTCTTTGTTTTTCTAAAAGTCAGTCTGTGGCCTCACAGAGGTTTCCAAGTTTCACCGCTGGTCCTTGCATTGCCCTCTCTTGGCTTTTCCCAGCCACAGTTATCAGCCAAGGCTGGTGAGTAGCCAGTGCCACCATCGTGTGATAGAAAACAGGTAACAATTTTAGCCAGATCATGCAATGACTGCACTGGATACTTGTTTCAAAAGAGCGTTGTGACACTTTGTTTGTTAAATTCAAATTGCATTGTAAACCTCAGCCGAAAACTGTTGTGGAATTCATGGTAAATAAAAAATGAGTTAATTCCCTTGAATTCTCTTGATTGTTTGTTACATTTTTACTGGTAAAAAATATTGTTAGGGAATACTCATTTATGTGTGTCAGGGGACAGTATTCTGCGAATGCCTTGTGATTCGACCTTACAAAGAATTATTGCTATGTGGATTTACATCAAAATGCCTGGCAGGCAAAACCAAGAGGAATTTCCTTTCTTTTTATTTCAGTGTGAAAAGGGCTAGGAGTAAACATCCACAACCATTTTCCAGTTGGCCCGGAGGCACAGAAATGCTTTGGAGAAACTTTCCTAATGTAGACCACGGAAAGAGAGAGTCAGACTTGCTGCACCCAGCATCCTCTGCACACCTGAGCACAGTATAACAGCCGGGAGGGAAAGGGCAGAAGAGAAAATCACAGAGGTGCTGGGCTGCATGGAGTGTGTCAAAACCCCAGTCCCTACAAAGCACAGTCTGTCCTGAGACAGCACGTCTTGGGAAGGGAAAAAACACTTCTCACAGTTACAAACTAGCGTAACACCCTCCCTCTCTGCTGCCACGCTCACATTTTCCTTTGAAGCAGATTCCCAGGCTCCTGCTTCCCTGCCCAGCAGAGAGCAGAAGGAATGAAAATCAGAGTAAGCGACTGCAGAGCATGGTCAGGTGCACCATCACTGCGATACTTTCATGCATCCTTGTTACTGATGGTTTCTGTACTGTGCCTTTTTATATTAAGCCCAGAGGTAACTGTGAGAGAAGGATAAGATATGTGACAGGCAGAAGAGATGGGCTCTGAAAGGGAACAAGCTGAAAAGTAATGAAGAGAAGGAAAAAAAGCAGAGTGTTGGGCAAGAATAGGGAACCCGAATGCAGACTTGCGATAGGCATGAGGGACCCAGGACTTTTAAAATGCTTAATACACTCTGAATGCTACAAACTCTTTGAGAACATAACTTAAAACTCATATTTTCAATTTTCAGCTTCATATTTGTTATACCACCATTTTGTCAGAACAATACAGCAAGGTAGACTTTGACTTCTTCGAGGAGTATATTCTTGATCCATCATCAATGTCCCTATTAAGCAACACTGTGTAGTACAACATAAAAACAGACAAAAATATCACTGAACCCACCTTTCCTGCCATTCCCAGGTCCTCCTTTTCTTTTCTTGCATGTCCAGCAAGCATCTTCATTTGAATCATTCCTGATAGAGCAATAATTGGCCCAAAGGCTAAACGCAGAAGGGTCAGCTGCCAGCCATGGACCGATGAGAAAACAATCCCAGTCCCAAGATTAGCTATGTTTTGGGCAATTAGTGCCAGTCTGGAACCTGTAGCCTGGGAAAGAATGAAACCGTTGTAAATTACTCTGTTTTATTTGAAAACTGGACAGGAAATATTTGATACCCAGACAACAGAGATTTGTTCACCAGAGGACATCTGAAAGTGCTTAATTTGGTCTAAATATTCTGCAGAATTGGATGCTTTATCTTTCGAAAATACATTCTATTGTACAGATCATTCCCTTAAGTATTCTGTATCTTATCTAGTCTTCCTCCCCTGTTTCCATCTATTCACTCAGACTTAACAGTCCTTGTTTTGAGGTTTTGCCCAAGAAAACACAACAACGTTTTGTAAATCTCGTTTTTTTGCTAAGTAGAACCATGATTTCAAACTTGCCAGGTCTCCTGAAACATGACATTTCCTAACTTGGAGTCTGAGATGACTATTGTTTTCTCTAATCACTTTTAACTTAAAGCATGTGAACAGGCACAGTGCTGCAATGAGAGCAATCCTGATTTTGAGGCATACACTTAGGCATCTTGTTAGTGCTTTGTAATGTTTAGCCTGGAAACACAATGTTCTCTAGACATCTAAGCAGGTTGGATAAATAACTTTAAATAAACAGACTCCTTGGATGACTCGTTTATACTAGTGATAACAGGATTGAATTTTAATATGAACTAAAAGCAAAGTTATAAAATACGTATCTTACCTACTATTATGCTATTGTATTTTTCTGTGACACACAAAATATTATTTAATAAACAATTATTTAATAAATAGTGTTATATTATGTAATCAATAATAGCTTCCAGAAGACTGTATGTGTGGGATTTCTACCTATCAAATCCAGCCTGTAACTTACTCTGTGCTAACCGAGATATGAAAAATGCCAGTGCTTGTTACTTACTCCTTTCACTTGTGAGGCATCATTAGCAAGTCTTGTAATTAATGCTCCAGTGCTGTGTTTAGGATCATCAAACCAGCTGATCTCCTACAACATGAAATAGAGTTATTATAATCTTAAAAACTTTAGTCTGCACATCACCAAATTAGGCTACATGAGTGAACTTTAACATTTCGGATTATAACGGGATGCCACACATGATATGGTGTTCTTTACATGTGACCATAAATACAGTAGACCTGAAAGTTTAATATAGATATGGGGACACAAAACTCAAACCGACGTTGTGTTAACAATCCATATATCCTTTTTGCAGTAGCACAAGAACCACCACTTTATTTCATATTAAATTTAGCTTTACAAGATTTTTTTTTCTTCTGATTTTAACACAGTTTTGACAATCAGATGCTCACTAAATAGCAATACTAAGGAATCTGCCATTTAGGAACAATTACTTGGGTAACATGCATCTGCAAAGACTACTAAACAATATACTTTCTCCTGTTATAAAGCTAAAAATACATCTTAATTCTCTGTCAGTTACAAGTACTGTGAAATCTACAAGCCTGCTGTGAAGTGTTTCAGAACCTCTGTGGTGTCTGAGAAGACATAATGCAAAATGATATGCAGTGCTGGGAGATTACTCCAGACTACCCTCTTCCTCATCTGAAAGACACTATTTTCAGGGAAAAAAGATCTTGTCAATCATATGCTTTTGTATCTCATTAGCAATTGAGATCAATTGGTCAGAGGCATCAATGACTCTAAAGTACTTATTTGAAAAGTAAAATGTCTGAATTAAATGCAAAACATTTGTCTTATTTAAACTCAGGAAGTAAAAATAAAATATTCACATTATCTTTCTTCCAGATTCACCAAATATCAAAACCAAAAGATCATTGTAACTAAACGATCTAAGCATTTGTATTGCTTTATACATACATATTTCTTATAAACCATATGGTATTTTTGTGTAATAACTGTTCATAGGGTTACTTTAAGAGCTTTTGTATTTCCTACCATTAGTGCTTAAATGCATTACCATTAGACATCAACAAATATGCTACATTCTGATTTCTTGGGTTTTTATGGAGGATGAGGGATTATTTTTAAGTGGAGTAAAGTAATATAATCTTAACTACAGTAAGAAAAAAAGATATAAACTAGTTTCAATCTGGCCGTAGGCTCACATAGCCAGATGGCTGCTTTGGCATTACATGAAATGAGAAATGCATCACAAGTGTTGGTGCTAATACAGCTTCCACTGCTGCAGTGCCTGATACTTGAACATGGTGCCAGGTGGACACGATTTTCACTCCAGTGAGAAAAATGAATATAATGACTTGACTTCACTCCTCAGACCATGAAAACTTCTCTGTTACCTTTAGGGTCTTTCAAGCCCTTCCTCCAGCGATCTGCTGAGATTCAGCATGGTCTTAGAGAACTCACTTTCCTCCTGGGCTAGTCAAAATAGTCTCATGGGACTTAATTTCCAAGGAGATGAAGGAGATGACCTATAATGCCTTCCCATATAAACCAGAAAGCAGGGCCATGAGGGCCCTCAGTGAAAGGGGTTAACGAAAGGGAAGCTGATGTGGCTCAGGTTGGCTCTGGGAACTTCTCAAGGAGGAAACGACCCTCTCTGGAGACCAGGAAAACTTCACTCAGCTCTGTGGGCTGAAGAAGTGGTGGGGTTGTGCCTGTCTGGAAACCTCCTCTTTGGTCCCAGATTTGCTTATGTATCAGACCAGCGTGGCTGGGATAGAGACCACAGTCTGCAGTGAGTGAAAGGCAAGGGAATGATGGGTCTAGTCTTACATTTCTCTGCTTTCTACTAACTCAGGGATCGCATGCATGTCTACAGCAGGGTCAGCTGTGAGTACAATTCAGTAGAAATTCAGGTAAGGATTGAATTTTTGCTGTGGATTGATAGTAAGACATGGAATACCAACATTTCCTTGAAATACGTGATGAATTAAAAAAAATACTTGGGAGGAAATCAACTGGTAAGGGTAAGAGTGGCAGCAAAAGAGGGGCAAAAATACCTGAGTTGGTTCTAGCTGTGCTGAAAAACGAACTGGAAAGGCTGGGAAGCCTGCAGGGCAGGTACCAGTGCAGGCTGTGCCTTCCAGATAGGGCTTATCTATTTGCACTGGTACATTACACAGACCGCAGGAGAGAAGGGATACTGAGCCGCTTGCCGCTGCACCAGCTCCACGAAGCAGCTAATGCCAGCCATCAAACGATGGTGATAAGGCTGGTTACACATGCAGTTAGGGTCCTTGCCATCCTACTCACTGCTTAGAAACTACACACTGCTGTGCTTGGATTGCGGGCTGATTATTTTAAAAAGTTTTCACTCTGCTGCTGAATGTACTCCTACTGACAGCAGATTCTTGTTCTGACCTCTGTCGTGGCTGTCTTTGGCTCTGTGCCTGCTACGTAGGAGCAGCCGCCAGTCTAGTGAGTGCAGCCAGTCAGACTTGTCGAGGTCCTCTAACCTTCACCAGTAATCATTTGTGGATCCTAGCCTACACATGGAGTTATATATACTGACCGTGAAGGCTGATCTGAATTTCAGGTTCAGTCTCTTAGAGCACAGCTCGCTTTCTCTGGTCCTCAGTCCAAAGATGCGTTGATTTCATTAAATAAGCTAAGTAAACACTGCCATTACCTCTGAGCTTTCTTAGACTTGACCTATAATTATATCAAGAAAAAGGTTTTAAAACAGTTTCAAGTATCTCCCTGGACCTGTTGTGAAGATTTAGTCCAGCCAGTATCTAAACTGAGCTAAAGAAATCAGTGTGGTATCTTTATAGGTATGATTGCAGATAAACACAAAGAAAATTTAAGGCATGTAAACAAACAAGCATTTCTAAAGGTCCAGAAAGCTAAATATATAATGCTTTTATCTGTCTCAGAATTGCTCTAAATGCCATGGATTGAAGCCTCATTGTAAGGGTTTCTCCAGTTTTGCCAAATGTGAAAACCTGTTTAAGAAAAAAAAAAAAAAGCTTTTTTATTACCTAATCACAGTTTTTGTCTTTTTCAGATAGTTAAGTGACTATGTGCATACAGTATTAAAAAGAGTATTGCTAAGAAAAAATATTCTAGCTGTAACTGAGGTAATAGAAACTTTTAAAAGCTAAATTTAGCACCTATAACAGTAGAGCAAAGAATGAGACTTTGTTTTTTAATAAACAGGTGTATACTATGTTGTTGTCTTCAAGCCCCACCAGTGTTTAAATAGCAGGAATTTTTTTATCACACCAGATCTCAAACAGTTACTTGTCACCAAATACCGGAGATTTCCCTCTCTCTCTCTCACTCTCTCTAAGAGCTTACAATCCAAAAACTGCAGTGCTACTGGTTATTTTCTAGAGGAAGCCTCTGAATCTGGGCAGATACTCACTGACTACAACATGACTCAGCGTGCACAAAATGGTGCTGGTGAATCTGTCGCTCCTGGGCCAGGGCCATGCAGGGTCAGACTACACAGCAATGAGATGAGGGAGACAGGCAGACACGTTTGGGTGGAGAAATATCCATAACAGCTATACCACCGATTTCTTTTCCTTTCTGAGGATGTCACAGAAGTAGCAATTTTGAGGTTGGTTCTGTCTGAAGAGAGGGTAAGGGCTGGAGGTCGCTTCAGAAAAGGTACCTTGTTGTCTCAGGGGCACCAGGCAGAGGGTAGCAAGGTGGCATTCAGAAGTCTACAGATGATTGGGCAAGGCCAACATAACTAAATGTTTAGCAATAACTGAAGGGATTTGTGCATGTAAATGAGATGTGCATCAAGTCACATGACAAGTGAGCTGATTTATATATGAACTTGGCTGTTCTCCTGTGATACGCGTAATTCCACGCATTGGCAAATATACATGCCCATATGAACAATTATGTGTACATGGGAATTTAGACTCTGTTTCAGAAAATGTGGTAAGAACTATTTGATCCTGCACAAACAGAAGGATGCATCCCATAGACTAAGAGGTGATTTGAAAACTCATTTAACTTTCATGGTATGGAGCTGTGAGTAATCTGAAATTAAGCATATGAGGTGGTCTTTCTCAGTTACTTTGGTATGTTTTCTTACAAGTCCAAGGGGTTGAGTTCATATAGGTACATGCAGAGTAGTTTCAGTGCAGCCAGGCCAGATGTTGACAGGAGTGTTGCACAGAGCTCAAAGCAGATGTTGAGGCAACCATTTACTGAAGACAGAAGATTCAAAATCTGATCTTAGGCTGTGGTGCCAACATTACTCTCGGTACTATCAGTGCTGTCAGTATTGGGTTTTCCTACACAGGCTGTGGTGTTACACACAAGCAACTTTACAAGTTTACAAAATTTACACCTAAGTAATTTTACAAAGCCCAATCAAATGCTGAAGTTTCATTAAGTCCTCTCCGTACTCCACAAAAAACTTGTCAATACACTGACACTTATAAAGAGGGGGAACTTTTTAGCCAGAGACTTATTTTTCTCATTTTTTTTTCATGTCAAACTGTTCTGAAAACATACAGGAGAGTTAACTAAGTTAACTGAAAAGATCCACCAGGAAGCCTCTTTAAAACACAAAAATGATGTAAAATGGCCTTAAAACAAAAGACAATCAGAAAGACAACAAGAGGGACTATCAATGTGAGGAGGGAGCCATGAAGAATAGGAGCAAGACTTCCAGCTGCTTCAAAGTTAAGCCCTGAGAGAAATTGCTTGGGAAGTTCAGGAGACAGCTTGACTGATCATAGAAATTTTCAACATAGACCATGTCTGAATGACAAAACTTCAGGAGCCTGAGTCACTAAGATGCTGGTGATTTGCAAAAGTACTTGCGTAAAAGAGTTTGAGTTTTCACAATGAGGGTGGGAGGCACTGGAGCAGGTGACCTGAGGGAGGGTGTGGAGTCCCCATCCTTGGAGGTATTCCAAATCCAACAGGACACAGCCCTGAGCATTCCACTCTGACCTCAGAGGCCACCCTGTGTTCATCGGGGGTTGGACTAGGTGAGCCACCGAGGTCCCCGCCAACCTGAGCTATTTTATGATGCAATTATTTGGAAAAGTAGTCTGAGAACTGATCAGCTCCAGAACTTCATTTTTGCCACAATCTTCATTTTTAGCTTGTCACATTCTTTATTTTTAATGTTGTACTTCAAAAGAAACTTTTTTGCTTAGAATTCCTGTAATTCACAACTTTGAATGACACTTACACATTACAGTTAATATGAAGTTTTCTTAATTTGAAGTTTAGCACTCATCAGGGAAGCTTTTTTTTCCCCTAGAGTTTCTCTACTGAGAAAACACTGCAAAGCTGGAGGTACCTTTGGGACCAATTCAACCCAGTTAGGTCAATAGCACATAATATGATAAAAGCTATGAAAAAAATTTTGTGAAAAACCTACCTGCATATTAACAAGCTTATAGTAAATTCTGTTCTGTTCTATTAATTCATTATGAGTCCCTTGTTCTGTGATGACACCATTTTCAAGGGCAGCTGTAAGATCAGCATTGCAAACTGTTGAGAAATGGTGAGCAATAATAAGTGTAGTGTGTCCTTTCCTGACCTGGAAACAGCGTAACGATGGCTCCACATTAGCATTGTCAGGCACATATAATATTTCCCGTCTTCATATTAGAGTTGAACAAAATATATTAACCAAAAAATTTTCCTTGGAAATGGTGTTCTAGTAAAGATCAAAGTTGTCAACTAAGAAATTTTGAATTTAATAGTGTTTTTCAGTTCCTCTGAGGTAAACTAAAGCAAAAATATAACTTAAATATCGCAAAACATATTGGAAACTATAAATTAAGGATCTCTATTTCTTTCATGTCAGACTATTACTTTCTAAACACAAATATCTAAAGGTTCTTTTTTTTAAACTGCCCCTTTAATGTCTTCCAAGGTTATGTATCCGTTTTGCACTGAAAAAAGACTATCTACCATTGAGCATGTCAGTGACAATTCTATTTCAGACAATTTCACAAATATTAAAAATTAATCACTTCGCAATTTTACTTGCTCTATATTACTTGTTTGACTTCGCTGAAAATATTTATCTAAAATTGTACTTAAAATCACACTTCTAGTACTCATATTGTTTTTCCATCTTTTTAACCAACATAGTTAGACATGACAAAGATGTTTTTACAGTCATATTGTGACAGTGTGCACTGGGATAAATTGGTATTAATATGTAATGACCCAAAAAGTGAATCCAAGCTTTATATAATTCAGTTTAAAAATCTTCACTTAACATTTTGAACTGCTAGACTAATGTCTTAATAAGTGTTTTACAATTAGGAAATGAAAGAGAAAACTGTAATACGTGGAATATTCGCAATGAATTTCCAGCTAAACCTGATATTTTACTACTGTCACGTGATTTTAAGAACTGGAAATGACAGCCATTCAAACCATCCTAGAAAAAATGGTATACATTTTCTTGGTAGTCTGAAAGCTTCACTATGTCTGAGATGATCTTAAAAAGTTAAAATCACATCAAAATGCAGAAGAAAATCAAGTTAAGGTCCTTCACTATAAAAAGCAGAAAGCCCCATCCACACAAACAGTAAACAGAAATTCAGCAGAGGTTTGGTAAAGCTGGCAGAGGAAGGTGGTCTACTCCAGATCTGATGTGAACCTTCTACAAAGCTACATGCTCCGCACAGCGAGGAAGAGAAAAAGTAGGCAAGAGAACGACAAATGAACACTTGGCACACAATAGCTTGCCTTCGGCTTGCTTAACATCAGCAATTAGAGCTAGTCCAGTCTGAGCAAGTCTTTCTGGCATGCTCTGCCAGAAACACCAACAGGGAGATTCATCTCACCATACAACATCTATTAAAGATAGGTGGGGGAGGTGAAAGGCTAAGTTGCTCAAACTAGCAGCGTAACTTGTATATTGCAGTAATTAGTTGGGATCCCACCAAAGATGTCTCAATCAGCAGTTCTCTGCCCTCCTGTCTCTGAGATTCAGTTTACAGGGCATCGGTTGGGAGAAGAATCCCTGTGTGTGCCAGCTGGCATAGTTTCACAGAGTAGTGTGAATTATCAGGAACTGGGAGCAATGGACAAAGAGTCTAACTCTTGCTGAAATCAGTGTCCAAAGCTGATGTTGCCTCATCAAGCAGAAGAATTTTAGGATTGCGAACCAGAGCTCGGGCAATTGCTATTCTTTGCTTCTGGCCTCCACTCAGCTGTGCCCCTCTTTCTCCAACCACAGTTTCAAACTTCTACAAGACAAAGACACACATTTCCAAATCACTCAGTGGCACAGCTGGTTCCCCAAAGAAAGGCAGCGTAAAGAAAAGGCACATTGGTGTCAGTAGCCTCGGCAGCATTTTCTCATTCCTCTAAAAGACTACAGGATAAACACCCACTTGGATACACCTGCCTAATCATTTGTGCCCCTGGAATTCTAGTAGTTCTTCAAATGCTTAAGTCATAACCTAAATATTTAAAATTAACATTATTCGCAAAAGTTATGAGGAAGCTCTGCATAGCTCTGCTTATTCACAGCTGTGGAAAACAGCTTCCTCTGTTTACGAGAATCCCTGTTCTAAAACATGAAGATACAAATGGAAACATTTCATTGATTTCAGTCAACTATGGGTCAAATAATTTGTCATCTACCAAAACGATAAGAGTAAAATCTCTTCACAGTATTTTTTTACACATAAACATGCAAGATAAGAAGTGTTAAAAGGTAGAATGGGCCTATCTGAGGGCATTACTTAGGTTTTGTCTCCATCCTAGCACAAGCTAGTATTAGAGAAGAACTGTCATCACACACAAGCACCTGCAGCCCTTGATGGAGAAGTGTTTCCTGCAGCTATCACACAGGATGAATTCCCAACCATTGATGTCACATACATCTGCACAAATTTAGGAATGCCTGCTTTACAGATGCTCCCTCCCTGGAATTGTTCAAGGCCAGTTTGGATAGGGCTTTGAGCAACCTTATCTAGTGGAAGATGTGCCTGCCCATGGCAGGGGGTTGGAACTAGATGATCTATAAAGCCCCTTCCAACCCAAACCATTCTATGACTCTATAATTCTGTGAATGCAGAGCGAGGTGTTCTGATATGCACTACCCTCATAGACCTTACTGTTGTCAGTGGACAAAGGCAACTTAGCACCATGCAATGGTATTTCCATGAGTACATTCTGTTCCCTTGCATCCTGTGGTCCGCTCATCATTCTCGTTTGCATTTGTTATGCAACATCCTTTGCCCTTTCTCACCAGGATTACCTGCTAAAAAGGTGACCTCTGTAATAGATAGAGGAAGAAGTAAAAAACAAAGCTGTTCTCTAATACTAGATAAACATTTAGCCACCTGATGGAGAATTCACTGAGAATGGTAGTCTTTATAGTCTTGCTATTGATTCTAATGGCAACTAATGTAAGTGCCAAATGATTTCAGTTGATCTCTTTAGAAACTGGTGAACTGCAATATTTTCTTTGTCTGTTTCTTTAAAACCTGACTAAGAAAGCTCTGTTCTTCCCTGTTGTCACGTTCTACCTGAACAAAATGGGAACAGATCCCCTTTTATACATGAGTGAAAGTAGACTTCCTTCATGCTGGAAAAGAAGAAGATTCTCTGAGACATTCTTCATAAAGGTATTTTCAGAAATCATTCAGACCTCTTCCACAGTTAGTTCCATTAAGACTTACCTTCATGAGAGCTCTCAAACAGAACAATCTCTTCCTTCAAAGAGCAGGTTTTGCACTGTAAATGCAATAAAGTAGGTGTTTGATCTGCTACTAATTTCTCAGAGAAACACTTTTACCAGACTTACAGTGTGGACAATTTGGGAGATCAGTATACTGCTGTAACATTTTTACTGGGTTAAAATGTGTTATGACAATTGGAGCTTTTCATTATATTTGTGATTTACAAGGACCTCCAACCTTTTAGCTTTTAGTGGAAATTTCTTGTAGTTACATTTTATTTTAAAAGGTGGGCTCTTAATTTAGTTAACTAACCAGTTCTGGCTAAAATGCGTTATCAGTTCTAGATAAAAGCAAAAGTTTCCACTATTTCTAGGGTGGTTTTTTTTTTTTTAATTTTAGCAACTGTTTTTCTGTAAGGTAATCAAGTTGTCTTAAAAGCAATCTGCATCATCTCCATGCATAATACCTTAATATCTGGCCTAGTAGAATAATTCAAGTAAACATTTTGGAATTCCAAATTCCCCTTAACGCAGTTCGGTTTATAGCCAGCACTGGACGCACTGTCTATTTGAGGTTCCTGTGCAGAACAATATGCCAAGAAAAGGGGAAAAAAACATTGTTCATATTCCTAATGACATTTCAGCATGAGACAGGGATGTGAAATCTGAGAAGTTAATGTTACCATATAAGGAGGCATAGCAGGTTTCATTGCAAAGTACCTGTAACTACTCATAGATGCGTGAAGCTGCCAGTCCAGGTCACTGGCAAACCTGCTGTCAGGGGTGAGTAACCAAGGCAAATGCTCAAGGCCTTAAGTGTTGCCTTTGTTGGCGTGGCGACCTGGTTCAGGAA